ACTGGAAAATCTCAGCCGACTAGAATTCCTTCATCGTCTTCTGCTGACATTAGGTTTAAAAGGGGAGGAAAGTTCACAAACAAATCAAGAAAGCCATTCATCTGTCCAAACAGTTATTGGACAAATCTTACAGACTCCTTCTCAGGAATTGTGATATTTCTGCCAACTTCTGAAAATGTTAGCCTCTTCTTCTATTCTTTTTCTGTCTCATCTCTCACCTTGTACTGATTACAAACAAACGCATACTCTTTCTCATAAGTAATCTCTCATACACACAGATAATTAGCACCTGATGTGAGTCCAAATATCCCACAGTAGACACATGATATTTAAAATCACTGGCAATTTTTTATTTTGTGGGAACTCACCAAGTTCATTTCACCATAGGATTTCTGTTTCCACGCAGTATTTTCCAGTGCAGCTGAGGAAAACATAGCATTGACTGGGGGAATGTGTAAAGCAGATTACCTTTCAGATCAAGATAGTAGGTGACCACCATCTGACAAATTTCCTGCTCCATTACCAAGATTTGATATGTTACTTTTTATGCCACATTTCTAAATCACAGACTATTCAATGCATTTCCAAAGCAAGAATGGGATTATAAACATACCTGGCAAATGTGTATGTCCATATCTCATGTGCACATATTTACAACCATACGCATACACGGTTTCTCAGTGATTTGATTTTTCATGCTTCCTATCCTCTGTCTTGTGATACTTGCAATATATTATTTATATTGCTTCAGATGAAGATTTTCTGCTTGCTGTTGTAGAGACAGAGCCTTATAAAGTATTGCAGAATGCATAAATCTAGAATTACACAATAAAACAATACAGAGCACTGCTGTACATTTGGGAAAGGAGCTTGCCACTGTTTGATTTAAGGTTAGCAGAGCATACACAGTGGCACACTCACAGGACTTGGTAGAATAACTGGACAGCTACCATTCACACTCACAGGAAGTCAAGCTCTCAGCTTCAACACTCCTTACCTCATTTGCCAATGAGCATCTTTTACAGACATAGAAGATATGGGACTCTAGGAAGACTGGAAAGCTTTGGAAATCCTCTCTCACAGAATGGAACCAAGTCCATCAGTTTCTAAAGAAACACAAATGCCTCAAGGAATGTCAGAGACTTTATGAAAGACATGCGAAAAATCAGGCCTACTCAGTTCAATGGAGTGGCCTCAGAAAGGTCTGTGTAGTGTATAGCTGTACAGAAATATATACTTCCTCTAAAGTGCTTTTGTCCTTACAAGATAGCACTTTGATTGAATCCTCAATCGATGTCCATGTGATCTTTTTATGATCTGCCATATGATTCCCTGAGGAAAAAGAAGTGCAAGGGACTGACATTGAAGTGGTCGTCTCAGTTCTGGGGGACAGTCACAGCACATCTGTGAGAAATGCATTCTGCCTCAAATCGATAATGGCTTCTGGCCCCCAGGGGCTGCTGACAGGCTGATCCCTTACATTCACTGCTGTGATGGTACTAGAGTACCCTCTACTTTTCAAATCTATTTGCTGTCTATGCCATCACTCCACTGTAAGTACCCAGATAATGCCCTCTTACACTGGTGCCCAAAAAGCAAAATCTGGGCATCTCCACGGAAGGTACCTACTCCAGAGAAGCTCTGAGCTGAGGGACTCAGGGACCAGCGCTTCCCAGCAGATCATACACAGCCAGAGAGAAAGGCAGAAGACAGATGACTGTCTTTGCCCTCTGCCCATTTCAGAACACTATCTTACCTTCTCTTGCCCTCTTTCTGCCTTAATATGACCTAAATGCATATGTGCAGCTGTGAAGCCGAGCAGGGAGCAGAGGGATAAAAAAGAGGAGGAGTCTGTGAGAAGTTGAGCTTGCAGACAAAGAGGAAAACCATATGCCTTTACAAAGACTTACTGTCAAAACCTAGAATTGCAGAATGGAAATTAATGGATTTGTAAGGATTTTTATTAGTCAAGATCCTGGCCTGTAGCCTTGGGCTCTCCTTCTGCCTTTATTGGGATGTATTTTGTGGTTCTGACAAAAAGATGGAGTCTGCATTGTTGAATCTTGATATAGGACACACATGAATGAGGCATTACATTAATGAAGCATTACATTCATCTAAACTGTCACTATGGTAAGCCGCAAAGGTCTTAATTTACCTCAAGGCCAAGCTAATTATTCAGAAGGTGCATGGTGGGCTGGATTCTGCTGTAAGATGTACACTCTGCAGGCTGTGCACTCTCTGCTATTTGGATGACAATAAATCAGAGTACTCTTGTCCCAGCATGGTAATCTGGGAAACGAACTAATTGGTTAAGTCTGCTCTGGAATCCACCAGTTGGCGGATACAATTGTAAAACTGTAATCATTTTCTGCCACTCACTGCAGATTCGGAGATTCCAAGCTACATTTCAGTAGGATATCGATGAACAGTTCTGAGCCAAATGGATTCCTGGTGCAACTCCAATAAGGTTGGTGAAACTAAACATGGGATAGACTTGGTCCCAAACAATATACCAACAGTCAATCTCTCAATATGCTTGTCCATAAACTTATTTAAAAAATCATTCCCTTTATAGTGCTAAATTCTGGTTTGCCAAAAGCTATAGCTAATGAGCTCTCTCAAGCTAAATACTCTGAGGAGTGTGCATAAATACTGAAGCATCCTAATCAGCCTCTTGGTGAAAATTAATTGATCCATTACAGGCAACAATAACTATTTGGTAAAGTTTTTATTCTGCATTTTTTTATTTCTGTAAGTAGTGCATGTAATTTCATTGGCTGACTATTTTAAATCTTAGGGGAACATTGATGGAACAATACAAATCCCTCTGAAATCAAAAATTGCCAGTCACAATTATAGTCTGCATCTCACATCTTCTTTATGGTCTATAAATGTTTCACTACTTTAATTTTGCTTGGCATTTGCATCACTATGTGACAATTATTGAGCAATGACAAAGAATAGATTCAGTAATGAAATCTGGACATTAAAGAAGTACTCTTGGAATTGAAATATTCTCACTATTTCAATGTAATATTAATCAGTTTGGATACACTGATACATCATATTTAGATAAGGCACTGGTAATACATGTAACCTTCCGTCTGGTGCTGAAATGTCTGTTGCTTATTGCATATGAGAGATGAGGAAATGAGTTTTCTCCTCATATTTCTTGATTGTTCTAACTACTCTGAAAGACAAGATACTATTGGCCACTATCTTATGTTATATAAGGCTTGTGAAACTACTAATTTCAATTATACTACACTTGTAGGAGAGGGGAATGAAGCAGTAGTGGCTTTGCTATTGTTTTTGAGTTAGTATATACTCTTTTAAAATTATTTGAACCATTCACGATTGTTCCTGTCTAAGTCCTAGATATATTAGAAGACAAGATTAAGCAGCATTAGTCAGACTGCCAATGAGCATAGGACAAGTGCATGTAGGGGGAACAAACAGTGTCATTATGAGAATACAGGGCTTAGGTGGGAAAGATTCTGGGTGTTGCCAGAATTTGATTTCCTTCTTAAAAAGAGACATACTAGAGAAAAAATATTTGATGGAGAAAAAGCCTTACTTGTGAGAGATGAGATGTAAAATATTTATAATAAAAATCACCTCAGGTAGAGTGAGCTGTGCAGAGTTGATATTTGCAGACGACACTTATTTACCTTCAGCAGACAGAACCATAAAACTTCTGAAAGACTGAGTTAATTTGGGAAACTGGGCAGCACAGTACAAACATGGTTCAGTGTCATTGCAAGGTCAATCATTGCAGAGTAAGACACACTGAGAAAAATTCACTTCTTTATACACTTCAAAGGGTTTAAAAATAATCATACAGGTCAGGTGTGGGACCTGCTTTCATGTCCTACTGGTTAGGACCCCAAGCTCTGTGTAGCTGCAAGGTCCAAAAGGTCTAGGCTGGGTGAAAAGCGGGTTGAAGAATAACAACTATGGCCTCATCTAGCATTCTGTGAGCATAACTGCTCTGGTCCTCTTATCTTAGCAAGAACACTGCAGAATTAGACAGGTTTTGGAGAGTAGTAGAAGTAGTTAGACACCAGGAAAGACTTTCAAAGATTGTTTGGAAAGATGTGGTCATTTTTTCCCAGAAAGGAAGTAACTGAGACAGGCTATGACAGCCGTAGGTTAAAGAATGAATTAGGTATTTATTACAAGCTGCTATTCTTTCTGTCTTCATAGCATGGTAAGTGTTCCCTACCCCTGAAAGAAAAAACAACCCCAATGACTGACTGGTGTTCTCTTCTCAAATCACACTGGATGGCAACCAGAAGTATTCATCAGCTCTGCCATCTCCACCGAGCTGATAACATAACAGTATTAAGCTGACTCTAGATTTTACATATAAACACTACCACATGGCCTCAGATCACTAATTCTAGACAGAAATCTTCCATGTTTAATAGCCACCCGTCTATACCGAGGCAACACAGAAAAACAGATCACTTGTCAAGTTACATTGTTATGAAGAGGCAAGAGGCTAGGCAGGGGGAATTGGCTCAAGCTTTATGCGTCAAAAACAAGTCCTGAAGGACATGAGCATTTTGAAAGAGGAAAAGGCTCAACCACTGAATGGAGACATAGCCAGGAGGGAAAATTACTCCTCTGTCCTTTGGCCAAGCCAATGGGCTGTCGAATAGCACACCTGCAGCTACAACCCAAAATGCTATCAAAAAAGAGCTCTTCCCATGTGTGCACTGGAAACAATTAAATCCATATAATTCATTCTGCTACTCACATAACCAAAGATCTCATAAGATACTCCAGGAAGATGAAAAGAAGTCTCTGTACAGGAAATAACAGTGGAGCAGAAGTGATGTCCAGAGTTTTATTTTCCTTTTTTTCACCTTTTCTAAACTGAACATTGTGAACGAACTCATCTTAAACTTTCATTGACCAATTCAAAAACTATAGCTGTGCCTTACCTCATATTTTTAACAGCAAGAGCTAGGAAATTGCAGTTTCTGTCTTACCTTGTTAACTTTGTCCCAATCTGCTGCCTGAGTTCGAGTCTCTCCTCATCAGTCTGCATGGGGAGGATGTTCTTTTCCTCCAGCTCTCGCTTGGATGGCCTGTTGCTTAGTTTGATTGCTAATGAGTCCTTCCTGCAGACTTTCATTGCCAGGGAACCTGCAGGAGAGAGGAGAGGCTCTGCCAAAGGAGGTGTCATCGTTTCACTACAGCATGTGGCCAGCAAAGTAGTTCTACAGGATATTGGGCTCTTTCTTACATTGGCATAGACTGTGGGACAGTTAATTTCAGTTGTTCAATAAGCATCAATTCCTATCATAATAAAGAAAGGCTGGATAAAGAAATAAATAAAAAAACGTTTCACATGAAGGACTGGAGAAGAAAGGCTTTTTCATAATGGCTACTAGTATCTGCAGTTTTCCCTAGTGTGTTTCTGTACCATGTAGTGGGACGAACATTTCAACCATAGAATCTGAATGGGTAACAGAGCTACCATATGTGGAAAGATATGGGTTACAGTCATGCAAAAATGCTACATAGAAAAATCAAATTCAGATCTTCAGTTGAATAAGATCAAGTCAGAAGTTCCAGGATTATGGTTAATAAATAGGTAGAGAATATTAGAACAGAATAAAATCCTAGCATCTATCTAAACACAGACCAGCTTACTCTCATCTGTATGCTCAGGGCATTTGTAAGGTAAGAAGTAGCAGAGCAGCCCTGATCTGAATTGTATGCCTGTATATTGTTCTCATTTGATTTCATCTGGATAATTCTATCAGTATAATCTATATTATACACTACAGGCTATTTTAAACACATGTCTTCCCTCTAGGTGTGTTATTAAGAATAAAAAAAATTCTCTTCCTCTTTTTATTCTTTTTTTTTTCTCACACATACTTTTCAAAGCTATTTTTTCTATTCTTTATCAAATCTTTATCAGTAATAAAATGGGGTAGCATTTAAGGAAGGTTGAAGAAAAAAGCTGAGGAAGTCCTTTAAGTTTGACCAAAGCATTTGAGATAGATTGTCATTTCAAAGTTACTGAGTGCTGGTTTAATTTTGCTCCTGCTCAAATCATAGGCAAGATCTCCCCATCCTCAGTGGCAATACAAAACAATGCTGAGTGTTTTTGAAAATTCAGATTTTAAAAAAAGGAGTATTAAAACCATTTAAGGGTTTCTTTCACTGACCATGACCCATTTCAAAGCATGTGCAAGCTTATACTTCTGATATGATTTAACACTTACTATGTATAAAAGGTCTGATCTCTATCATCAGTATCTATTTCAACTCTACTGAATTTAAGCCAAAGAAAGGACTTGTCTACATCAGGGACACTTAGGAAAGCAAATCCAAAAATCAACTGCATTTGGTAGTCACATAAGTGGCATTTGTAGTTGATATGAAAACTACTCACACAGGGATTGATGTGGATTAGAAAAAAAATATTTTAAATTCATATTGCTGGTTATTTTTTATTAATTTACCAAGTGTGCCGAGGTAGTTGAGCCTTGAGAAATGCAACAGCATGGACTAGAAAGAAAACCCACAGGCTTTGTGGTTTTTTTTTTTGCACTGAAATGAAGGAAAAATTAAATAAATGAAAGGGAGAAATGGAATGAGTCTTACTTGTAAATATTGAGTTATCTTCATCTTCGTCTTCCTCCTCTTCTGCTTCCTGTCGTGCGTAAAGGCAGGAAGAATCTTCATAGTCAGGTTCATGAGGCACATTTTCTTTATTGTCATCGCATTCGATCACAACAGTTGGCACTTGTCTCATGTCTGGAAGGCCTCCAGGTCCTGTTTTTGTAACACTGTCACCTGCATGTAAACCAGAGCTGTTGGGAAAGAAAAACAAATGACTAAACTACAAGAAACACCACAACGGAAGTCAGATTTGCCTCTCTTGCTGTATTTAAGAAAGTCTTTCTTTCCTTGTTGAAAAGAAGTGAAGACAGAAGAATCTTCCTGAACAGCAAGACATCTAATTTGTTAATTCACTAGTACTCGTTAGAATTAGGCTACAGCACTTATTAGGGAGAGGTAAGGCAGTACATGGCAAAAATTCAGCCAACCAGGACTGGAGATCTAATACTAAAGATCTGCGGCAAATACAGCTTCAAGGCTTAACTGAAACCTCAAACATTCACTTATGGTGACAAATGTGGGTTCAATTTGATAGCTGTGTGACCTTCCTATAGACTCTTGGGTTATAAGGAGAAAATATTTGATTTGAATAGACAAAGTGGAGCATGAGAGTGGGAGGAAGAAAAGCATTGGATTTAGAGCATAAAAAGGCAGCGGGAATCTATGACTTGGGCTGTTTGGGCAAGGAGATGTTGATTGACTTGGGTAGAAGGCCAGGGTGGGACTGCACAAAAGGGACAAAACAAGCACGTGAAACTGGATTTGGAGAAAAGAGACCCTAAGTGCTGCTGAGAGTAATGAAGAAGGGATCTAACATATGCTATGGGGGTTGCAGTGACAATATACCTTCTCCTGGCAGCTGCCCATTCCCACCACCTCTGCTCCCAGCACACTTTGGTGTGTCTGCAGTACTGCTTGCAGAGTGGTGAATCTGATCTTTTTTTTTTTTTTTTTAACCTAGGTTCACAACACAGTTATGGAAACAGGTGAGGCAGCACACCTATGCTGGCAGCACAAAAACCAAGAAGAAATAGGAGTAGCCTCCACTTAGCATTGCCATGGAGCATCATGAAACAGTGCAGGATGTAGAGGAATGGGGAGGCAGAGATGAGCTGAAAAGGAGACCGGGATTAAGCCACTGCACTGAGGAAATCTGGAGTGTATTTTCCAAACACTCTATGCTTTGCAAGTTCAGTGGCGCCCTTGTATCATAAGTTGGGTCTGGGTGCACTAAAACCTTGGGAAATCTACATATCCACACTAGAATACCCATTGAATTAGGAGACATTAATAAAATAAACCCAAGACTGTCAGAAAATGTGAGCTAACTGAGGGTTTTCCATTTCTCCTTCCTATATTTGCATCTGTATCACCTCCCCTGGGAACATATCAAGTAAAACTGATTACAGAACATTACAAAAGATCAGTGAGGGGTGCATATGATCCGCACATGCTGTGGCTCCAATGAGAAGTGCAACTAAGGTTATGTCCACTTCGTTGGACGTGTCTTACAGTAGTCAGAGGTAAATGCAGAGGCAGTCTGATATCATCTATCTACATGCAAATTTGGGAAGAAAAGTGGTCATACCTTTTTTTAAATATATATTTCCATTATCCTAAGAGATATATGATATGCCCCGAAAGCCAGGCCCTGGACCTCAATCTTTATTGGTCTCTGAAGTCATATTTTTTTGTCACATAAATGGCCATCTGATAATTTCCCACAGGAAAGCAAAATTCAGGCCAGCATTTGTATTGCTACTGTTTAGCTCTGTTTATGTGTTGACATCAAACTGCTTTACCAAGGAAGATATCAATACGAATAAGGAAACTAGAACATGAAAAGTTGAAGACCAAAGTCAAACAGCAGGTGAAAGGCAAAGCCAAGAACGCAGCCAGATTTCACAGCCAAGTTTTATCTCAGAGCTCATGTTGTTTGTTGGTTTTTTTTCCTGTGTGAAATGAAAAGAAGAGACTACTAGGTAAAAGGGGTGGCTGCTGAAGATTATTTGTGAGTCAGTAGAAACTGCTCTACATCTGAGTCCCAAGTCCCAAAAGAGATAACAGCTGTATGAAAGTCAGGGAATATCAGCCTGGCAGGCGGCCTCTATGTCAAACTCCCATCTTACTTTCCACAAGAACTGTGAAAAGAGATGCCCTGGCCAAGCTGCACTTGAAGCACTTCTCAAATTTGTGTCTGACCTGGCCCCCAAATCCCTTAAACATTTTAGCCTACTGAGAACCCCAGAGGAACTCCACATTTAGAAAGAAACTTTTATTATGTTTCTTGAATCACTTTCTGCTGAGTCACCTTGAAACATTTCTCTTCCTTCTAACTCTAAAGTTGATGTAGACTCTTAAATGGCTGCCACAGGACATCTAAGAAGGACTGCGCTGCAGGACTGTACTGAAGGACTGCAGCGTACTTGTGGCTGTGTAATGCCTGTCCATATGGTGCTTGGGGATTAAGAAGAATAAAAGGCTTCAGTTCCTGTGAGCAAACAATATCATGTTGTTATTGTTATATACCACTTCAAAGAAATCGTTTTGCTAATTGCAATGTTTACCATTGCAGATGAATAAAAAAAATGAGCTGCACATCTTTCCTTTGTCTGTGTGAAGAAAGAAACTCTGCTTGCTCAGTGATGGACCGTGATTTGTGTTACAAAGTATGAAAGATTCATGAAAAATTGACTTGCAAATTTCTATATTAGATCTCAGTGAGCTTGACCTAAAAGCATTTTTACCCCCAAAATAATTTAGCAAAAAGCAGTTCAGCATCCAGGACCATTTGGTGCTTCACTGCTCTGTGAAGGATACATATAGGTTATAGATCCACATCCACATGTGACTGCATACAGAGTAGCAGATATTAAAGTGGCTCACTACTTTAGCTTACCAAGCAGATATCAGATGGCAACAAAATTTACAAATTACCATAATAGATCTTAATTTGAACTAGTGGTCTAGAAGAAGAAGGCTTCTCATCTCATCATAATTTTTCTGATTCATCCACTCTCTTGATAATACTACTTTCTATTTTAGGTCCCTCATTTTTCCTGATGTCTTGTGTTTTTCTTGATTGAAATCAGCCTTCTCCACATAATTTTTGACTAAGTCAGCTGCCTAAGCGAAGCACTTGTGAAATGCTTGCAGTATTCCACTATACTTAGGAAAGACAAATCAAGGTCACTGGTTACTTCCATTGTGTATAAATTTCTCTGAGCCATTTTTTTCAGCATTATTCACCAAAAACACATTACTGTTTTAAACGATCTATTTTAAATCAGTTTTATGTTTTCCAACAAAATTAGAGTGTAAAGGCACAGTTAATCAAGTACTTGTTTTAAGAAAATAAGTTTATCTTAACATCTATTTTTGAATAATTCATAGATGACTAGTACAAGAACCTATAGTATCATCTTCGTATGATCAAAAGAGCAAAAAAAAAAAAGTTACAGCATCATGACTTAAGGCATTTCTAGTAAGAAAAGATTTTAGTGAAAAACTAGAATTTAATATATTGATACTCATGCTACCGATGGGATCTAAAAGAAAGAAGTGAAATCCCTCCTGCAAAATTTAGTGGGAAAAACACACACTTCTCATCTGTCATCCCAGCCTCTCTGGCTTTGGAACAGAATGTAATTTTTATCAACAGGTTTTCAGATCCACAGTACACTGTTCTGTGCTTATCAGCTAACGCAAAAATTGGCAAAACTTCAAACCCTTGTATATATACTTATACAATGTGTGTGTGAGAGAGAGAAAGAAAGAGAAGGTAGAGCTATAAATATTAAATGCTTCTTTCCTTAGGCAGTGCTAAAGTTTAGACAAAAGCAATTCTTCTGACAAGTTTTATGGAAGATAAATGTTTTCTGACTCAAATACGTTTCATAAAGTTTACAAGACAACGGCAGGAATGTCTAATGGATTTAATTCATAAATCTACAGTTTGAAGCAACTGGATGTCCCAGAGGAACCAGTCTCACAAACTGTCTTTTGGACACGGATTTTACACTGCTCTGTCACAGATTTAATTCTAGCCCAGAGTGAGATATTGCCACTTAGCAGCTCTTCAGTATTACATATTGAATAAATGGTGGCCTTGATTCAGCTGCTAGTATGCTAGTGTCCACAGAATAATTGAAATTAATTGTCGTTTTACCAGGTAGACCAAGGACTGTATGAACCAAGCAGAAAATAAGACTGTATCAGATCAAGAAGCTAAGTCCAAATTAAAGACATATCACAGTGACACAAGAATGTTTTCTGAAGCTTCTTTTTCTGCAGCTTGTGAAGCACTGCTTTTGGACATAGTCTCACAGGCTTCAATCATCTCAAGTTCAATTAAATCAGGACAATCAAGCCAAGGATTTTGGTGGCAGAGATTATCAGATTTTTACCAGCCTTTATAATGCATTCTAAAGGACAAAAAATTCCAGAATCTAGAGTTTTGCTTTATTTAAGCTTGACCAATATCCTTTCGGTAAGAGTTGAAAGTTGTTTGCAATTTGGACTCAAATGTTTCAGAAAAAACTGAATGTGGAAAAATGCGGAAATTACATTCCTCTCTGTTGCAATTTAACCTGTCATAAAACTGGTAATTTCTCAGAGAAAATGAAGGCAAACTAGAAGCACAAACAAGTCATAATTGTTGTAATAGTTGTAATAGTTGATAAGAGATAAAGATACTCTCCTGAGAATAGGCAAAAAACAGATGTTGTGAGTACCAGATTTTTTTTGCAATTAAGTGTCGAGTATGTAAATTAAGTTAATGTTCTATAGTGTCTATAATAGGACTGAGTAAAAGATCCAGGAACTAAATCAAATTTACTGATAAGAACAGTTGGAACTTGAAGAGCAATTATATGCTTTTAATATACTTTAAAACATTTACTCATTAATATTCATTAGATCAATGTGAGGCTGTAATTTGTAACCACTCCTACAGAGGAGGAAACAAAAGTAGAGAAATACAGTAGTTTTCTCAAGGACACACAGCAAAGTCACTTCTGGCTTCCATTCTAGTACAGAGTGACAGCTCATTTTTCTCTGGAAAGCTTCTGGCTCATTGGCAAAGCACTAATTTCATGTAACACTCTTCAGATGTTAGACTACCAAAGGCTGGATCTGCTAAAGCAAAAAAGACAGGCTGCTGCAAGAAGGGGTTATTTTCTCTTTTTATTCCTTGCTCCTTTCTACCCTCATGAACCTGGTGGTAGGATGGGGTTTGAGATCTAAGAAAGGTTTACTGGGATAAATGTGGCATTGATACAGAGTGGTTATGGATTCAATGCAGACCAGTGGAGTTAAACAGACTAGAGGAGATTCCACTGCATCAGGAGCAAGGAGACTAGACACTGGAAAGAAAAATGTAGTTTTCTTTTGGAAAAGAGAAGAGAGGAGAAGAGAGGAGAAGAGAGGAGAAGAGAGGAGAAGAGAGGAGAAGAGAGGAGAAGAGAGGAGAAGAGAGGAGAAGAGAGGAGAAGAGAGGAGAAGAGAGGAGAAGAGAGGAGAAGAGAGGAGAAGAGAGGAGAAGAGAGGAGAAGAGA